CAAAAGCTTCTCTCAAAATAAAACCACTGGGAACCTCCATGTAATAAAATGAGTCACACCAGGATGCGATGACTAAGTGGGAGAACAGGGAATTCCACTCCCCATGCCAGCTTTCTTCATGATCAATTTTCTGTCAACAGGTGATGGGAGCTTGTCTCTCTGCCTTTTGTTTATGCCAAGAATTATGATTATTTTTTAATATTCTCCCTAAACAATTAAGCTGAATAATCAGGACCAGGCACACTTCCATCAGGCGCCCCCATAGTAAACAGTGAGCCAGGGAATCCAGGCCAGCAGTGGCTGCCTGTGTTAATAAGGATTTACCAGCTGTAAAATTCCAAAATCTTGTGTCATACGGGGAAACCTTCCAAAACACTGGATTCCACCCTGTCTCGCTGAGCCTCCAACAGCTATGGCAACTCCGTTTCTGCAGCCACACTCTTCTGCATTTCTCTCTGTGTGAGCCCTAGATTTTTTCCTGTTTTGCAGTGTTTTTTTGGAATCCCTCGTCGGGCGATTGCCCCTAGGATTACAAGAACACCTGGGGCAGGCAGCACATTCCAGCCAGGGGAAAACCTTTGGGGAGAAAGGTTTGCTGGCTTTCAGCAGCCACAGCAGCAAGGAAAGGCACAAAGTGCCCCATTACCCTGAAACTTTGTAATTTGCACAGGCAAACCAATCCTCCTGATTAATACTCATTACCCTCACATTCAATATTTAAAGTTGTTTATTTGTTCAAGTAGCAAGCCTCTCTTTTGAATGAACCTGGGAAAACACTGCAAGTTTTTTTAAAAGCTTTTTGTCTATTTTATCTTGAATTTGCCTGAGAAAATTGCATCATTAACGTTGCATTATTAAGTTCACAGAGTTAACTGCTGAAAACCGTTTGCTATTTTCTGCACTCCCCGGGAGTTTTTGGATCATTCATGAAACTGTCAGACTACAAAAAGGGATTCAGCTCCCTGTTTGGAGCACGGTGAGGAACTGACCTAGCACAAAGGGGAACACTGCTGGAGACAGAGTTGGAATTTCCTTTCATCTCCCCCACATGAGCCTACATCAAACCCACACAGCAGCAACCTTCTCTTCACATTAAACCTGCCCTGATGCCATCCCACCACCGTGTCCTGCAGGGCATTGACCTGCAGGGCTCCTGGAATCCCCTGGCACACGTTCCATGGCTTGTTTCCAGCACGTGGAGTGCAGCATTTTGGGCACTGTGCAGACAAAACCTCAACCCAGCACCCCCAGAGTGCAGAGCACAGCCTGGCCGAGCTCTCCTGCAGGCAGGACACATCCCAGTGTGCTCAAGGACCACTGCAGGGCTCCAGAGCTGGGCAGATCTATTCTGTCCCAGGGGCTGTGGATGTCCACACCTGGGGGCCCTGGCAGCTGCCCCAGTTCAAAGGGCACAGGCAGCACCTCCTCTCCTTACCCTGCCTGGCCCAAGCTGGAGATTTATGGTGGAGCCTCTCCAAGGATAGACGTTGTGTTTGGGCTGTTCCTCCACCACCCACATTGTCCTAGAGATGATTCACGGTGTCCATGTGGCCACCAGAAGAGTTTGGCAGGGGAAATCACAGCCCATTTGCACTTTTCTCCCTGAGAAACACGAACCTCCTCTATCACTGACACCAGAGCAGCAGCAACCAGTACACAAATGGGAGTAAACACAATGCAACCAGCATCTGACTTGCAAATTATTACATGACAATTACAATAAATAAAAGGGGGAATTCCAAATCTCTTCTTTTTTTAACTGCACTGTAAGATCTGGGCCCCAACCAAACACTAACACCCTTGACCTTCACCCTATTCCAAGTCCTTGATAGCTCCAAGACTGCTTTTCAAGCTTTCTCTTCCAGATCAAAATTACAAGAATACAGTCCAATCTAGCTGCTTCCCTGACCTACTTTAACTTAGCTGGGCTCAGTTACGTGTCTCCAAGTTCAGATCTTCAAACTCCATCAGCCAAACTCTGCTTTCTGAATTCATGAGCTGCCCTGGCTCACAGCAGCTACATTTTATGATCTTGCACCAGCAAGAGATAAGCGTAAGAAGAACTCAGAACTCTAAGGCCTGCACGTTGATAAACTTTAGCATTCAGAAAATTAATGCTATTCATGCATCAGCGTTTCAAACACAAGCACTTTCTCCCTCAGAGCACAGAGCTCCAGCCCCTTCAGTGCGTTTCCTGCTGCCATTTCCTGTCGTGAGCCGAGGCTGAGCCTGTCCCAGCCCTGTCCCCAGCAGCTCCCTGCCACCGCCTGCGGCTCGCGTGACACGGACACTCACTTTCACAGCGACATCCCCCCACAATTCGGGGAATTGTCCTCCTTTTCCAGGTATTTCTGTGGAAAAATATACTATCTGCAGTTCTGTGAAAAGACAAAGCCTGTTCGTTACTGCTCACGTATTTTTGTCACAAATGTGACCGGTTCTACGTTCCTCTGCCTTCCTAACGGTGGGTGAAGAATCATCTACAAGATCCAGAGGAAATGGAAAGAGGTTCTGAGTGTTTCCCTGAGGGATGAATCCTAATTTACAGTTGTGACCCCAAGCAGCAGCTCCCTCAGCTCTGTACAGCACAGGAGTGATGCCTTCCCAGCACGGCTTCACCCGGATCCAAGGGACACCCCGAGTTTGGAGTCTGTGGCACAATGAACAGCAGAGAATCTGGCTGCACAAAAATACTTGAAGAAAGATTTTTTGGGGGAAAAAAGAGCCTTGCCACTCTCACCCTAAACACTGCACACCCAAGCCAGAGCTCTCTGGAGCCTGGAGTGCCAAAAGCTGTGGCATGGTTGCCTACAGTGCTGCTCTCACCATTGTTGTTACCAGCACAGCTAAAACTGGTGGCAAAAGTGGGAAATCCAGCACCACTTGCTAGCACAGCCAAGGCTTGTGAGCTGTTAAAATGAAACTCTAAACAAACCAAGCTTCCCCTGCGAGCTTGCTGCATCTTCCTGCCCTGACAAAGGTGTGATTGTCTCACAGGCTCCGCTCTGGAAGAGACACAGCCTGCTGCAGCTGGGTCAGCAGAGCTGTGCTGCCATCCACCCCCAGCACGGTGGCTGTGGCTTACCCTGCCCCTGAGCAGCTCATCAGCACTTTCTGCACGGGCTGTGCAGGGCAGGGGAGCCGTGGGTGAGCTGCTGCTCCTGCCACCCAGCCACTGCTCCATCGACGCCTGGGGCTGCACAGCTGGGCTCGCTGCTCTGGGCTCCTGCAGCCCAAGGCAATGGCAGCTATCAACAGACATCCCACAGACATTTGGAATTGCCTACAGTGCAGAATGAGGGAGGCTGAAAGCTTCAGGTGCACAAGAGCCTGATTTTCAGGTGAGCTGGGACACTTATGAACCTCTGACAAGCCAGGCACAAAGCAACTCTGTTTGCTGCACTCAGCCCATGCATGATCTGCACGCCCAGCTCAGCTTCTTAACCTTCCTCACCTCAGGATACACCTATTAAATAAAGAAATCTTCATTTAAAAGCTCTTCAGGGCACCTCTGCCAGAGGTGCTGCTGCATTTTGGAACACACAGAGAAGCACTCAGCACAGAGTCCCCCAGATAACCCAGAGCAAACCACACAGACCTCTGATTCAGCCTGAGGATTTGACTCTGGACCTCCCATCCTCCAAATCCCCTTCTGCCAGTCATTTATTCAGAGTCCAGCAGCCTGAGACTGCCTGCAGAGGCTGAGGGCTGGGGAGGAGGCAGGATATGGAACACCAGCAAGCAAATCCCTGCTCCAGACTGGGCACTGCTGCTGGGATAAGTCCTGTCTCTCCCCTACCAGGAGGTAAAAAAAGAGGAAAAAACCCTGCAGTTTCCCCAGCAGCGAAGAAAAGCTTTAGATTTAGTGTGGAAAATATTGTTGTTCTTTTTACTTTCTAACATCTCTTCCAGCCAGAGCCTTCTCTGCTCTCACATGGAAACAGGGGCAGGGCGTTTGGGATGTTTCCTCGAAATGGCATCAGGAGCTGCCTCCTTTGAGTGGATCATCTCCTGTAGCTGCTGCAGAGCATTCTTGGGACAGGTAGCACTGCAGGCTGCCAAGATGTTCCCCAGCACCTTCCCGAGGCGCTGACATGGTGGAACAGTGGCAGCACAGTGGGAAGGAATTAATCCATGGGCTTGAAAGGAAACAGAGCGTGCCAAAAGAAATCCTCTGACTGCACAGGCTCATCTGAACCTCCACAGCTCTTCAGAGCCTTTCATACCTGCAAAACCAGCCTGGCTTGCTGCTGCTGTGGGAAGGAGCTGGGACCCACAGGATGCTTTTCCCCCCCATGTCACCAGCTGGTGCTCATGTACGAATGTACCTTCATTTTGGGCTCGATTCTCACTTTTTCCCAATGGCATCACCCCCTAGATCATGCACATGCTGCTCACCTGGGCAATGCAATCTCTTAAACTCCTTGCAAGTCACTGGATTTATCACTTAAGATACCTCTACTTCAGTTCATGACAGAAAACTTACAAGCACCAGGTTTTCTTAATAGCAAAAAGGGAACACAAAGTTTACAATCAAAAATATGGAAGGAGAAGGGATGGATTCTTGCATCTCATTATGCATATAAAAATAATTTTATATCAAAAGACACATTATGTTTGTTTTTTCTCCACAGATTTCTAAAGGGAAGAAAACACAATCTTTGCCTGTAGTTCGCATCAATAAAAATGTTCATTTCAATGATGATTTCTACAGTAGCATTCACTAAACATGAGATTAAACAAGTACAGAGGAACATGTAGTGCTCATCTCCTTTCTTTTGTAATAAATCCTGTCCCTGCTGATTCCCAGTGCCTGGATTCTTGTGAAGCAACAACACAAACAGTTGCTCCCAAGTCTAACTTGTCTCACATGGTTTTACTTACACGAACTTGAATGTGACTACTCACTTGAGTATCTTGACCAAAAACCTTATGATGAGATTTGGCACTACAGATTTGCCTTATCCTGTTAGGGAAAGTTAGGAAAAAACCTGCCTTACCTGATGTTTTTTCTGTGAACACCACCTTGGACTCTGCTGTGAAATTCTGTCCAGTGAGGATCATCTGCTGTCCTCCATAAACCAGGCAGCTGTCAATGTCTTGTCTTTCAACCATTGGAAGCTCATGAGCAGACCTTTGGGCTGTGGACAAATTGCAAACATGAATGAAACCAGCTCTGTTTTACCAGGACTTTCCAAATCTTCCCAGAACTATCCACAGATTGATCTTGTCATCGTTACCATCCCCTGACTGCCAAAGCAGCTTCTCCAGGGTGCTAAATTTAGGTCTGAGAGGGAAAAATAAACTTACTCAAGGCATTTTATTTGGAAACATTCAGGAGTTGGCTGCAGTGGTTCAGCTATGCTGGCCCTGCTCCTTGTCCTTGAGAAAGGACAGCTTGGATGAATGAGCTGAAACTTGCCCATGCCTGTTTCCAAGCCAACGGCCAAATTTTCAAGTGCAGGCACACTACAGCCTCAGAGCCCAAAAATTCCACCTGCACAGAGGATTCCACGGAATAACACTGAATTCCTTCAGAGGGGGGAAAAAACAAATGAACCTCTCTCCAAAATCCCACTGCCTCCCACAGGGCAGGGGCTGCCAACAACAGCTCCAGCTCCACGTGTGGGCACCGAGCCCTGGTGGGGCAGCCACCAAGCCCCTGTTGTGATCAGGAGGGGTCACACCAGGACTGCTGCAGCCCAGGGTTTTTCCAAGCATGTTCTGCAGAAGCCTGAACATCTGAGGAGCAGGGCCCTGTGTCACAGACTGAGTCTGGATATAAAAGGCAAGGGAAGGAAAGGTAGGGTGGGATCCAGATGGACGCAGACGTCAGCAAGGCTTTCCAAAGTCTTTACTGTTCTTGGCCACGAATTTGGAGTGTGACTTTAGCAAGTTATTCTCTCTTTCCCCAGCCAGAAAACCAGGAGAGCACCATCTCTCCACCTACTTTCCTCTGATGCCATTAAAACAGGCACTGCATGGTCAGAAAAGCTTTGGAGAGCCCTGCTGACCGTCCCTGCAGAGCCATCCCAACTGTCTGAGCTGAAGGAAGTGAAGATGTGAGAGCTGTTCCCCACAACACAGACAGCTGGAAAAGATCAGGAGCTTCCCTGTGAGCAGAGCAGGTGGGCAGCAGCTTGGGGCTGGTGAACTGCGAGTTCATGACCTGCACTCCAACTCCTCCAGATCCATCCACCCCAACTGGAAAGGCCTCCAGAGGATCCTGCTCATCTCTTTCCCAGCTGCCTTGGCTGGATTTCAGCTCTCCCTGACAGAGACCCTGAGCACTCGTGCCTTCAGTGAACACCGTTGGCTGCTGAGGCAGAAATGAGGAAATGTGATCCTGGATGTGCAGGGCTGCCTGACTCACACCAGGCAGGCTGTGACCTGACCTGGCACTGCTCTGCTGCTCTGCAACCCTCGCAAAAACCAAACTGTCTCATCACCTGGAGAAGATGTTGGAGTATTTGGTGAGAAAACTCAAGCATTAAACCTTTCACAGCAACTTTTCTAGCTCTGCTGAAGCCCTCAGTCACGAGACAGAGATTTTGCTCTTATTAAAGAATAGAGGTCATTCAATAGTTGTAACTTTCTTATGCTATTTGAGAGGCATTTTTGAAATCTGTTTAAAACTACTTTAGGACTCATTGTTCTTTTCAAGTATGTAACATCTGGGCTAATATACAGCCAGTTAAAAATATATATATTCAGATTACTTTCAAAGATGCTGATAATTTCTTTCACATGGCTGTAGGATTAATTTATTTCCCAAAACACTAACATTTTTGATGAGTTCCTAATTGGATTTATCACAAAGACAGATCTGTAACCTCAAAGGCTTAAGAGTAAATAGCAATCATCAAAAAGCATGTCTACAACAGTCAAGAGAAAACTTTTAAGTATTTAAGCATTGCCATGGACACTCTTTATTCCTATTCAATCACCAAATTTCACTTCCAAAACATCCTAAATCATCAAAATTCCAGATTAACCTACATCTCTTTCCAGCTTTATTGTGTTAACAGAGAGCTTGGTACCTGCCATCCCACAGATCAGTGGCTTCCAAGGTTTTTTCACCATGAGGAAGGACAGATTTTAGCCTGGTTTTCACACTGACTCATCTCAATTCCATTTGGAGCTGCTGCACCTGGCATGGCTTTGGGCATCTCCAGAGCTGTGCCCATCCTGAGACAAGAGGTGTGCAAAGCTCGGGTGCCTCAGAGGTGCTGTACAACAATCCCACCTGGAGAGCTCCAGCTGAGCTCCCAGGGCAGACACCACACTGAAGGGCTTCCCCTGAACTCTTCTCCTCCCTTTGGGTGGTCTGAAATCCTTCTCTAATAACAAAAACCCCAGCCACTTTTCATTTTCCAAGGTCTGTTTTTTCCACCCAAGTGTGTAAGAAGGCTTCAGCCCCTTCCCCATTTCCACCAGTAGAGAGGTTCAAGGTTCAGTGTAGAGCTGCCTCAATAGGATTATTTTTTTTTCCTCTGCAAGAAATATTAATTGCTAATAAATCCCCTTCCTCTAAGGCTCATGATGGGTGCACTGCATGCAATAATTTCACACTATTCCTTCTCTTCCCCCAGGGGTTGGCACTTCATAAAGTGACCTACAGCTACTGGAGTTTATGAGCTTTGAATAAACAAAACACTGTTGATTTAACCAGTTGGGGTGTTTACTTTCAATAGCAACAGTTACTGACATAAGGCAGCAAAGCAAATGCTATAGAAATACTCACACTTGGCCTGGAGCAGTGTGTCAACCTATTAACAGGGGACATTATTTTTCTATTTTATTTGACTGTTTGCAAATCAAGATGTCATGGATTCGTGGTGCCAAGAAATACAATGCATGCAGTGACACAAGACAGAAAGGGAGCCACTGTCTGAGAGCCCTGCAGCACCTCCAGGGAGCTCAGCCTGCAGGAGCAGCCCCTGCTGCCCACAGCCCACCCAGGCTCCGTGCCAGCAGCTGCAGAGAAGCTGAGGATGGGCTCAGTGTCTGGGCAGCAGGCTGAACACCTCCCAGGGATGCACAGCTCACCAGGGGGCTGTGCCAAGGCAGCCAGAGGTGGCTCTTGCTTCCCCACCTGCCCACAGTATCCATCCCTCTCCTCTCAGCAGAGAGATCTGCCTTTCAGGGAAAAGGGTATTTTGAGAAAAGTGAAGACCTGGAGAAGTCTGTTGCAGCTGCAAATCTCCCCCACGAGGGTGTCACCCATTGCTGCTGGGAGGTGACAAGGGACAATCTCAGCTGGAGCAGCCTGGTCTGGTGGAAGGGGGTGGGACTGGAGGAGCTTTAAGGTCCCCTCCAAGCCAAGACATACTATAATTCTAGAATTCTGTGATAACCTCTTCACTGCCAGAGTGAAGCCCCTCCACTCTCTCCCACACCTGCAGCACTGACTCCAGATCTCAGGTTCTGTGTTGTCCCCACTGCTGACAGTGAGACAGCAGAGATTTGATGTTTGTGACACCTGATCAGGAGGAGCAGGACTGAGGCTCACGAGCAGCTCAGTGAGGACAGAGCCACTGCTACCTGTGATGAACTCACAAGCCAATAAACCAAAAATGTGGCTGTTTAAGAGGGGTGGGGTCACAATTGGCACCCCAGTGCAGTGGCCTCACCAGAACAATTATTCAGATTCCTCTCTGGACACCTCTGTCCTTACCCTGCCCAGAGCAGCCCCAGCACACCCCAGCTTGCTGGAAGCCTCTGAGCTGGGACTCACCACCCCTGACATGTCTTTCCAAACCTCCAAAGGCTCTTGATCCAGCCACTGGATGCTGCTGGGTTTCAGAAGAGCAGCTAGAGCAGGATGGCTGCTGCTGAAGAAAGCCTGACCCCTGGAAGCAACAGCAGAGGTGTAATTTGTTATGGGATTAAATCTTCCACCTCGCTGCAAACCTCAATGAGCCAAAGAAAATATTTCATTCCTGCTGTCACACTGGGTTCATTTACCACGAGCTGCCTGTGGTAGGATTGATAGGAGCAGAGCTGCTGTGCTCAACACTTCTCTAACTCATTAATGTTTGAGAGACTTTGATCCCCTCCATCGCTCCCTGAAGCATCCTGAGCTCTGCAGTGGAGCAAAGACAGAGGCTGGGCAGCCATGGGAGGACCAAGAGCAGGAGACATCTCCAGAAGCCAGGGAGATATCAGTGAAACACCCGAGAGAGAAGCAAATTTCTGATCAGAGGGACAGGATAATTTCCCTCCTGGTAGGAGTATGGAGCAGTGGAAGTACAAACCAAGTAAATAAAGCTAATTTCCAGCCCTCGTGGGGAAACCTTGAGAATGTGGTCTAAACACTCTGAAAAGAAGAACACAGTGTGACTGACAACAGTTTCTAATTTGCTGCCAGCAAGACTTAATCAGCAGTTTGTGCAGAGCCATCCAAGCAAAAAGCACCAAAAATAGAGAGCTTTTCTCCACCTCCTCCTCTGCAGATAATTTATGATGTCCTCGCAAAGGAGGAGTGACAAGCACCCATGGCAGCAGTGTCAGATAAGTGTGATACTTTCTATGAACTGCAGCCAGCTCAGCAAGCCAGCGTGTGATGAATGACAGGAAAACCATGGCCTGGGCTCACTTCTCTGTCACTCATCCCTGTGGGTATGCACAGCACTTCCCTTCAATCCCCTGTGCAGGGATCTGAAATGCTCAGCGATCCATGCTCTGTGTGCTGGCTGTTTGTTTTTACCACAGCAGCACTGAAGAAAGCAGGAGCTGACCCCAGAGCAAGGCTGGCAGCCTGCAGGAGGGGCAGGCATCCCCTCTGCTCTGACTCCAGCCTTAAAGACTGAAATATTTTGGTTGTACATTCAGAGTGGCAAATGCTGTCAGAATTAGCTTTTACATTCTGTGCTTCAAGAGAGAGATATTCTTTAGAAAAAGCACCAGTTTTTCTGTCAGCTGCACTTGCAGCCAACTGCGTGACTGTCTTGAAGTTGAAATGAAAGGAGAAAAGAATTCATTTAATTCGACTGGAAACCATGAGACTCCCATAATAATCAGGGTTATGGTTAAACTTGCAAATAGGTATCTCCCAAGTGCAAAGAGACCGTTTGTTTCTGCTTTTCTATCTGAATAAAGCAGGGCTCCTTCTTGCCTGCTGCTGTGTTCCAAGCAGCACAACTCCCAGCTGAGGAAAAGCACTCGCTGCCTCGCCAAGACAACATTCTTTTACATGACTAGCTCTTTCCTCTGTAGTTATTAATGTGTCACAAATCATAGGCTCAGATTGTCTAATATTATGGGAAAATCTACTAGAAGGAGAGAAAAATAAAGGAAACTTCCAGGGAAATTGATTAAAGGGAAATAAGAAATTTGACCCAATTTAATGGAACAAAACACGGTCAATAATAGAAACTATTTACATTCCTCAAGATGGACACACGGTTCTTTAGCAATAAGTTTTGTTTGTTTTGCTTTTTTAGCACCTCGGAACATCTATTATAAGAACAAGATTTTAGTCTCCTTCTCTCGTGCCAAGTGCAATTTAAGTTTGCATTTTAAGGGATTCATGAGCACAGCTCAGAGTAGCAAACATGGACTCTACACAGCAAGAACTGTGGCAGACTTTGGGAAGGTTAAACAGGATTCATTAGAATAAAAGCTGGAGTGGAGGACAGTCCTGAGCCTCGCACTCAGACATTTGCATGAAGCAGTTTTTGGGTGCTGGCAGCATGGAGCACAAGCTGCCCTGCTACCCTGGATTCCATCCTGCCCCTTCTCTGCTCCAGCATGCTTCAGTCGAGGAGTGCAAACAGAACTGGGGCACCCAGCCTGACTCCCAGAGGTCGTGACAAAGCTGTCTCTTGGAGAGGCAGCGCAGGGTTAACAATTTCTGTAACACCAGAGCCCACCCACTCCCCTAGAAATGAGCTCCAGCTCTTGGTGAAAGGCAAAGGAACGGAGCTGGCGTTACAGAAATCGTTCTCATGGCTCAAAAATAACTGTCTGCAAGTGTCAAACCTCTCCAGGGGTGATTTTCCACGTGGCTGTGTTTGAAGGGACAGGTGAACTCAGTCACCCCTCAGCTGCAATGTCACCAGCAGCTCTGTCACAGCCCCACCAGCAGGTTCAAGGTTAAGCAGCGAGCTGTCCCAGCAGGGATGGACGTGGGGACACGGCCAGCCCTGAGCAGGGAGGGGACACAGCCAGGCCAAGCAGGGCACGGGCTCAGCATCCCCCACATCCCCCGTGGGGCTGGCATTCACTGCTCAGCCTGCACCAGCAGCAGGAGAAGGGACCCCTCTCACCTTTCCAGCAGCGTGTTTTCCCACACCTGCCTGAGCCACGGCCTGCTGCTACAATTCTCAGAGGGCTTTCAAATGCCTTTGCCTCCTCAGTGGCTTCAGGATGAATCAACAGGCAACAGCAGAAAAAAAAAGCTGCTGAATTGCAGGCTTGTCTGGGTCTGAGGTCCATTTTAAGGCACAACTGATCATCTAACAGCACATCCACCCCCTCGTCCTCCCACGCAGCTGCCTGGGGAGGAACCTGCTCCGGGTGATGCTCTGAACCTGTGAAATCCCCTCCGAAAATCTGTCAAGTGCTGAATGTGACACAGATGAGGTGGAATCAAAGAGCCCTCTGAAAAGCAGCTGTTTCACAGTTCTTGCTTCACTGCAGCTAATGATCTGCTGACACTGGTGGGAATTCCTCGGGATCAGCTTCTGCGGAGGAGAGCACTCGGATACTCTGTTGGTAGCAACAGTGCTGGGGGAGCCCTGGCCAGGGAAACGGGCCGTGATCCTGGAGCTGCTGCTCACCAGGGCTTCCCCAGAGGGAACATCATTTCTGCTACCAGACAGGAGAGATCCTGAGGAGAGCCCCTGGGGATTAGAGTTCTCAGGTGGCCAGGTCAAAAAACACCCAAACAAACCAGAAAACAAAGGGGAAAAAAAGTGAATCCCAGCAGCACAGAAGGTGGGACAAGAAGAAAACACCCCCCAGCCCCAGGGCCCCCTCTTGGCAGGGCACCTGGGCTTACCTGGGAGCTCTGCAAGGCGTGCAGATTGGCTGGGACAAGCTGAGGTTACCACCTCTAGTGAGGTTTAGGCTGCATTGCTAATGCTGGCTGAGCCCCCTGATGTTTTTAACTATCTTCCCAGAACCGGGCTGAGATCAGGAAGCGCTACTGAAATGCAAAAACAGTGCTAAATATGCAACATACCCACTAAATGGCAGAGGCTTAGTACTCCAGATCACTTCATTCCCTGCTTCCTCAAGTTCAGAAAAGCACAGTCCTTAACATATCTCCCCAAACTGCCTGTATATCCACTGTTCCAAAAATAAAACTTTCTCATTTTATTTCTTTGGGGATCAAGTGCATTTTTTTTCTCGTATGAGCTTTGCTGTCTTCTATGCAGCCAATATTTTAATACTTTAATTATAAAAAAAACCCCACTAACAATAAGCCACTTATACTGGTATCTCCACCTTGGGCTTTTTAATACCCCTAAGACTCATCAATGCAAAGACATCTCAAAATAAATGCCTCAGTATCTTAACGCAAGGCTCTGCCACAGCAGTCACTGCACAGGCAAATTAGGTGTGCGCATACAGCTCAGAAAAATGTGATTTATTCTGCAAACCATGCCTGGATTTCTGCTTGAAATGCAGTGATGGGCACAAACACAACGTGCCATTGTGGAAGGGCCCTAGGAGTGCCTGGCTTACTCATACTTGCTTTTCCTGAGGAGAATTTGAGTAGGTGGGGGGTGATCTGTGGGGCTCCCTGCGGGATCCAGGACCAGCCTCCCCTGCCCTGGTGCTGTTTTCCTGCCTGCAGGGTGTAGGAGTTACACCTGGAGTTTCCCCACCCCAGGAGCTCCTCACTGAGTGCTTCCTTTAGCAAATGGACCTTTGTTCCAGCAGGGACACGTTTGGGGTGGAGGCCACTATTGTTTCAGCCATCTGCTCCCACGGAGGAGGAACGGGACAATTTCCTATGGACAGAGGTGGTGGCTACTCCCACTGCTGTCCCTTCCCCATCACAGTGCCCAGAGACCTCACTCAGCTGCTAAAACGCTCTGGCTGTTGGTACCTTCTCAGAAACACTGCCAAGAGATCATCCACAGCCATCATCCTCTCCCAGCCTTGCCTGGGTTATTCATTTGTACTGCTTTTTAAAAAGCTGCCATCAGTAATTCACCAGCCTGTTTGATTTCCCATCCAGAACTGGCTCCTCTCTTTCTGAGCAGCTGTATTTAAGTAAAGTCTGCATCTCAATAAATACAACTCACACATGAGAGACTCAGTGGCTTTCTTCACATGACTTATGGCAAGACAGGTTCTGCTAAAGGGGTGAGTCATTCAGCAAAGGCAGAGGAAAACTGTTCATTATATATTTGTGAAATCCCCAAACGACCAAAAAGGTACCACTTAACAACAAAAAGCATCACAGGATGCACAGGAACCACTAAAGTGGGCAGAACCCTTCCAGAAATGACTGTGACGATGACTGTGACATGGGGGGCCTCATCAGAGGCCTCTCTTTCTCAGGATCCAGTCAGTTATAACGAGTGGGAGGTGCAGGTTCTGAGCTCACACACTTATGGGATTTGCACTTCAGAAATCAAAACTGCCAGTTTTCTTCTGTCCCTCAGGGGAATACCAGAACCACCTGTGCTTTCCCTGCTTCAGCCTCCTGAGCTGTGCACCCCTTGGCACTGACAGCTAGAAAAAGCAATGACCAGAATGCACCTGAGCCTCAGAATCAGAGCTGTCCCTCCGTTTCAGCCGTGCTCCTGCCACAGCTCAGACCACAGCACTCTGGTCACTCCTTTGGCACAGGACTGGCCACAGTGCTCAGAGCCAGCCCAGTCTGAATTCAAACCTCCAGCCACCTGCCAGTTTGTGGAGGACAAGTTCTGATTGTGCCTCCACTCGAAACAAAGCCAGGAAAGCAGACAGCTTGCACACTTGACCAACAGGGACAGCGCAGGTGTGTCCCTACACACACCCCAGGCTGCTCCTAGGAACCACCCGGGAGCCAGCAGGACCCGGCAGCAATGCACTAATAATGAACTTTGCAGAAGCCCCCAGACTTGCAGCACGGAGCTTGCTGCCCTCACAAGCCCCAAGCACCTTGAAGAGCCACCTGCCCCCCAAACCTCTCTCAGGACAAGAAGTGCCCGCAGTTCAGAGCCACAGCCACGCCTGGCTGGCACAGAGGGCAGGTGCCAATAAAAAAAAAAGCATTTCATCTTTGCTTATAAATGATTTGTAACGTTTGCCTTATTTTTTAAAGCATACATTAACAACACGTTGAAGTTCTCATTCAAGCAACACGAATATTCAAACGTCCGGGTTTGCCAGCCCGGAGGCAGGGCAGGGAGAGAGGAGCAGTGCCAGGGGTACTCACAGCACTCGATGGGGTTGGAGGCGGCCTGCAGGGACACGATCCTGCCGCTGGGCTCGGGGATGTGCACGCGGAACACCAGGCGCACCCGCGTGTTCTTGCGGCCGATGTCGGTCTCGCCCTTGCGCAGCTCGATGTCCGCGTTGCGCAGCTTCAGGATCCCCGCGCAGTCGATGCTGCAACACACACGGCCAGGTGGGATGAGCCCCAGCTCACAGCCCTGCCCGGGACTGCCTCCCTGCTCTGGGCTAAGGGCAGCTCTAAGGGTGGGCTCTGGTTGGGATCCTGATGTTCCCGGGGAAGAACCCCCAAGGTGCAGCACACGAGGGGTGCTGCTGGAGCTCTCCGCGCTCTCTGGCCACTGCTCTCCAAGCATTAAAACCCCAAATCTTGTTTCCCAGTGCTAAGCACAGGGGAGAAGAAGGCAGAGCCCTCCCCAGGGCAGGAGCCTCCATCAGCAGCTCTCCTCAGAGCCCAGCTCCCAGGGACTGCCCAGCATCCCTTCCCACACCTGGGCAGGGCAGCTCTGCCCCGTGGGCAATCACAGCAGCCGGGTACAGAATCCCCACTGCCTGCACCAGCCAGGCACGTGGAATTCAGCTCCACAGCAGGGACCAGACTGCTGTCTCCTCCTGACTGCTACAGCTGGGCTCTGCAGCCTGGCCCAGGTCACTGTGCCATCCTCCAAAGGCCGGGGACATTGTTCCCAGGCAAGGCAAGAGCAGATATTCACTCTCCCATTCACTGTGTCCCTGCACAAAGAGAGGGTGCAGGGAGCAGGATGGGGCTGAGCAGCAACGAAAGGATTAGGATTGCTTAAATCAGCACTGCAACTTAATATTTGGTGTAAGTGCAGATTAGCTTCTCCAGAGTCCAGTGTAACCTTGCAAACATGCCCGTGTTAGGAAAATGTGACAATTATTTGTCAAGCTCAGCAATAGTTCTCAGAGCAGGCAGTGAGCACTGCTATTAAACAGGCACTGCCAGCCCATTTTGATATCAGTTCTAAAAACACATCATTTCTCTTCTCTTGATATGAATTAAAATCACGTTTGGGGAGGTATAAGCCCCAAGCTGCTCCCTACACCCACACTGTTCCTTGCCCTTGCATATGTGCAGGGGTTTATTATTCCAGGGTTCCTTGTTAGGAATGAGGTATATTTTAAAAAAAAATATTAAGAAAGAATGTGGATTTTGAAATGAAGTAGGGGGGCTTAAAAACATAACTGCTCTGCCAATTTTGTCAGGCTCCTCTGAAGGATGGAGATACAGCTCTTCCCTCTGCAGAGCAATCACTCTCATGCCTGGCACACGTTCAAGCCTGAAGTTTTCAGACTGGTGCCCACTTCATCCCTCTGCCTCCATAAAACTGGAAGGAGTAATACAGACAAGATGTGCCTGTGCTTGCTTTTCTGTTAACGTATTGCAAGAGGAGATTTCATGGCCAGAGCACTTGACTAAGTTCAGAAGAGATGTTTTGTATTCCATTAAATGCTGTAAAATGCATCCCACCCCTGCTCCTCACTGCGTCCCTGCAGCACAAGGACTCGAGATGATTTGAGTCTTCTTTTCCTGAGTGCACTACAAACCCATTCTGACTGTGAAGGTGATGGATTAGTGAGACACTGGATGCCTCATCCCTGGCAGTGTCCAAGGCCAGGCTGGATGGGGCTTGGAGCAGCCTGGGATGGTGGAAGGTGTCCCTGCCATAGCAGGAGTGGCACTGGATGGGCTTTAAGGGCCCTTCCAACCCAAACCACTCTGTGATTACAGCACAGTCACTGCAGAAACTGGAATACAGAGCAGAAGTGCCTGCATGGTCACCCGCTGGATGGGAACTCTCCCAGCAGCTTTAACCCACGTGCTTGTAGCTGGTTTTGCAAAAGGGTCTTGCCCTCATAAACCATCCCAACATGCTGGAAAGGGAAACCCCTCCAGAGCATCATTATCCTTTTAAGTGACTCCTTTCCAAAGAGAAAGAACTTCAGTGCCAACTTAACCCACCTCAACTTTGCTAACAAAAAGAAATCTACTTACGTTGCTTTCATGTTGTTTTTGGGTTCCAGGGGGATCTCTAACACTTTGGTGTTGCCAATGATCTTCTCGTAGCTGGTGGTGGTGACGGTTTTGCCCGTGATGCGATGGACCTGGTAGAAGGCGTGGGGCTTCAGGATGCGCTCGTCCGCCGTGCCAATGAAGATCTGCAGCCCCAGGGGCTTGTTCTCCATGTACCCGTGCAGCTGGCAAGACATGAAAAACCTGCTGTCACACACTGGGCCTGCAAAGCCTTGGGGAAAGCAGGGAGATCTGCAGGCATGTAGGTAAATGTAGGTATCTGCCACTGATTCAGCGCTCTTGGAAGCTCATCCTTCCCCCAGTTGTCGGGTCACCTTCAAGCATTCCTCTTGCACTACATTGTACAGGTAGAGATGGCATTTTGGGTCTGGGACTGAACAGCACAAGGATGTCTTAGTTGTCCTTGGAGCCTGGGGTTTCCAGGCCTCAAGGACACAGATTCTTCTGGTTTTTTGGTGGTTTTTTTTTTTAATAATAAACACCATTTGCTGCGAGGAAACCAGAATGCCTCCATAGAGAGGGAGACAAGGAAATTTCTCCTTCTTTATTAACGTTCAAAATTACAAATCAAACCATTCTAAATTTCTCACATAACCAAAAATGAGAACCAGACATTTATCTACCACATAGCCAGGGATCGAGCTGAAAGGGAACTTTATGGTCTGAGACATGCTAAATTTGTTTTCAATTACTCTGTCCACATACAAAACCTTGATGAAGCCATACAAAGCAAATAGTACTGGAAGATCAGAGAAAAGGAAGATTAAGCTAATGGTATTCATGGCCAAACCAAGGGGTTTTTTTCCTTTTTTTCTTTCACCAGTCAGCAGGAGGTATCCTTGCACAGAAGGATTAATTCCCCCCTGGAAGGGGACCACATGCAGCATCAATGCAGTGCTGGCAGCCTTCCTCCAGTAAGGCAGATGTAAGTGACACTCGCTCTCCAGAGCTATCTCTCCTCATCCAGCACTCATTCTGGAGGGAACAGAGGCAGGGGCTGTGCCCCAGAGACCCCCCAGCCATGGCCTGAGTGAGCAGCCTCCCCTGGCATGAACAGCCCCATGAATGGCTCCATTGAAGGCACCAGGCTCTAGGCAGGGGCTGTGCAAGAGCAAACTGCAGAGCCCAGCCCAGACTATCCCATCCCTCGCTGGCACCAGCGTGCTGGAGATGGGGAGGAGGGGAATGGGGCAGGAGGCTCTGTGCAAACCTTCAGCTGGCTCTGGGAGCCAGGGGAGGAGCAGGGAGCTGGGCTGAGAGTGCCAGGGCTGGTACTGGAGACACAGCACGGCCAGCAATGTGAGAAATACAGCAGCAGCCACAGGCACATTTAGAAATGGATAAAGCAGATGGGAGGTGAAAGGCGACAGAAGCCAAAATGACAGATCTGCTGGGAACAGGCACTGGTGGAAGAGTCAGCCCCTGCTGACCCACAGCCCAGATCCACTGGGAGCCACACGGAAACTCACCCTAGGCACAGGACTTTGAACATCCAGCATTTCCTGGCCTCCAATGCAAAGCCCCTGCATCACCAAAAGCCATCCTGGCTTCACAAGGGGCGAGGGGAAGAGCAGTTTTTAAGCACTGAGTGTGTTTATTGTCATGTCTGACAGAGTAATTCTCTGTGGATCCAGCTACAACAACGAGAGCATCCTTTGGACAAGAGGGGTTATTACAGTGACAGCAAAGCAGCTTTTGCCCTCCCCTCTGTCCTGGCAGAACAAAATCCCAGAGTTATGGGTGGGAGACTGAAATGGAGGAAAACAGATAATAAATTACAAAAGAAAATCTGCCCCCAGTGAGCACAGTCAGTAGCAGCTGTAACAGAACTGGCTACATACACGGGGTTTAATACTGGCCACCTTTAAAAGTAATTTTAAGTGGTGTTTGCTCATGTACAGAATGAGTTCCCAAGACACAACTGCTCATGGTTGTCCAATAATGTTCTTGTCTGTGGGTGTGTGTTGTATAAATGCATACAGTCTTAAAGAAGAGAGGAATTGATTCCCTGTTCATACGGCACTGTCTGTATTATCTGCTGGCCCAGGGGCATAAAACACACAGTAAAAGGCCTCCTGATCCTCCACAGAACCAGATTTTAAATCAGTTTGGTCAGTGGAAGAAAATTACTTCTTTTTTTTTTTTTTGTAATTTATGGTATTATGGCAATGCTGTGGGATGATGTAATTGTAAAATCAGAATAGCATTATAAAATGCAAGAGCAAAAATATATGTAAAAGAGTCAAGTGTACCCATTTAAAAGGGTTTATCCTTGAGCTAATTGATTACATTTTCAGGGCTAATATAGGTGATCATTTACCATAACCATTTCCATCTACCTTTCACTTGCTATGAACAGCAGGATGACTTAAGAATCAAAAAACTGAGATGAACAGCTCACAGAAACACTCCAGGAGCTTGAAAAATCAGAGTCTGACACTCATCTCCACCACCAGTTTAGCACAGCTCTGGTCATGTCACACCAGCTCTCCCTTTACCTGCACCAGGGAGCAGTGATGCTCGCCCTGCTCGGTGCTGCTTTTGTGTAGAGGAAATTCTGTGAGCTACAATGAAAGAACCCATCAAAGCTATGCTTCAGAGACATGTCTCTTCTTAAAACTGAACTGCTGAGGATTGTCACTGTCAATAAACACTCATCTCCACTGCAGCAGGCAGCTGCTTCAATATTTAACCAAAGCGCCAATCTTTTCTTTGAAGAAACAAAGGAGGAATAAATTTGACCCTTAAACAAACTTTGAGAAGTGAAGATTTAAAATGCTTTTTAAAACACTAACTTTGAAATTCATTTTTTTTTTTCTCCCTTAGCAACGACCAAGCTGCTGTAAAATCTCTGTGCTTCAGTGTTGTTCTGCTCATCAGAGCTGCTCCCTCCAAGCCCTTCCAGGGCAGCCCCAGCCTCACACCAAGGTGTGCCTTCACTCTTTCTCACTCTTCTTTCCATAAAAAATACAAAATCATCTGGATTTCAGTTTCAAGAAAGCGAGGATCAAGAAAGATTTATGAATACAGAACTCTGGGATGAAATATTTTTGTGTATTATAAGGTGACCTATTCACAATAAAACTCCCCCAAACTGTATACAGATCGAGCTGGAAAAAACCCAACTCCTTTGAGTCACATTTGCCACAAGGGGAAAGAGAAGCCAGACATGATGTGTACCTTTCCATACTCTATTTTGGGACTTTAAGATCCTATTTCTTTCACTTAAAAGATTTTTCTTAAACGTTGCTTTTGCCTAACTCTTACAATATTAACACAGCCAGACATGGGCTGGTCTGTGACCTGAGGAAATGCAAAGCACTTTGGCAGATAAACAAATAACATCATTCCGAAAACAAGGAGACTTTTCTTGTTTGGTTTGCTGCTATGATTGGGTTTCTAAACAAAATGGAAATGTGTGGCACGATTAAAAGCATCATCTCACCTCTGCAGAAATCAAATTCAGTCTGCACTCCATCCATGGATCAATACCAGTCAAATTTGGGAAAGGGGGGGATTTGAGTGCCATTTGCAGAAGGCATCTGTGCAATTCTGCATGCAAAAATGAGCAGATGTGCCCTTAGCTGCTGAGTTTGTCCAGTTACACACCCAACACCATCCCTGTGATGGCCCCAGCACTGCAGCCATCAGGAGCACACATCAGGCACATGAAACACTTCTCCTGCCCTGTTCCAAAACTCAGGTCTCCTCACAAACTGAGACCCCAGCTCCAAATGCACAGCACTTAAAGGCAGAGGTGTTAATTCCCTTCTAAACCATTCCCTACCCAGTGCTGAGATGACCCAAACCCTGCACCCAAGCAGCTGGCAGTGCCCCTGGCCAGGGGGATGTGAAGCACAGGGTCACTGCTGAGCTGCACAAAGAACAGAGCTCTGCACAGGTGAAGGCTGCAACACTGCTCAATTGTGCTGAAATCAAGGGATAAATTGACAGCAGAGTCAAAAACCAAGGCAAATTCTTTAAAGATTCTGTAGGTGATCAGCTGTAGACATAACGTACCAATACAGGGGGAAATCAGTGCAATTTTGAAATTTAGATCTTTCAATGGGACATACTTTTTCGAATTTAAATATTATTATAATTTATGCAGAATTACATTATTAGCAGGAAGAAGAGAGAGTCATAGGAAATAGATAAGATCACTTTTTTATCCTTACCCACGAGCCAGGCCAGAGAGGGGCAGTGATTTCTCAGGTCCAGCAGAGGACGAGCAGCCAAAGCCCAGTGAGGAACCTGTGGTGCCCTGTGCTCTGCTGACAGGGAATGCTGAGAGGGAATGCTGATCCCATCCTGCCCTGCTGCAGGGAATGCTGACAGGGAATGCTGACCCTGTCCTGCAAGCACCCCAAACTGGCACATCAGGCACCACTCAGCAGCTGCAGCACCTCAGCTCCCGGCAGTACTGCAAGCTTTGCCTTCTCACTGCTGGGCTGTGGAGCCAAATTTTCTCGGGGATTTCTAGTTTGGCTGTTGCACATCAGAATGCTCCGTGCAGTGCTGGGCTTTGCAGATGAAAGCAGCAGCATCTGCAGCTGGTACTGCTGTGTTTGAAGAGCCCCAGTAAGAGCCTGTGTGAGCCCGACTGCTCTAGAGAGTACAAGGCAGTCATTTATTTCCCATTCCCCCCAACAGAGCTCTGCCTGTCGGGCATTTAGGTCTTTCTTTCTCTCTGGGATGGACAAAGATGCATCTTTAAAGCACCTTCTTGTCTAGACAACGCAAGGAGGGAAGTATAAACGTGGGGAATGGGTTCTCTAGGCTGGGGGTTTTATCTGCTGGAAAGCACTCGGCTGGCCGGCTCTCTGAGCTCAGGGTAACGCTGTGCATCACTGTCCCTGCCAGTCCCTGGGGATGCATGAGCGTGTGTGCGGTCAGCTCGGGAGATTCACACTCATCCCGGCCGGCAGCGACAGGAGGGAAAACTGAGCCCGGCGAGCAGCGTTTAAACGAGAAGGGAGCACAAAGCCGTGAGAAATCGCTTCCTCCCGCGGCTGCCCTTCCTGCTGCTGTGCCGGAGATAAGCGGGGCCGCCCGGCCAGCCGGGGCTGCGCTGCCCCCGGGCCGCCTGTCCTCCTCCGCCCCGGCCGGGGCCGGAGCCCGACACCGCCCGCAGCGGCCCCAGCGCTCCCTCCGGGCCCTTCAGACCCTCCGAGAAGATGTTCTGGGCCAACAGCGCCGTTTCTGTCCCCCCTTCCTGCTGCAAGCGGCTCCAGCCTTGGATTTGGATCATTAATCCCCACCGTTAATAGCCGCGGACCACAATGATGTCAAGGATTTTTTTTTTTGGGAGGTCTTTGCTCAACAATACTCGTAGCGAGATGGAAAAATGTCACTGCATTGTCTCAGGGAGAGTGGGGTATCAATAACTGTCAGGAATTCAACAAAGACCTCGTCCAGCCACTGTATCGTGTAGCAGCTCCTCTGCCTGCTTCAGTTAGGGCTGACATTGAGCAACAAAGCCCAATCTTCTCACATGGTTTTGTTCAATTTAATGGACTTGGGACACTGCAAAAGAACGCAAACCAGAAGGAGATCTTTGCCTTGGTTCCTTTTGCTCCCTGTCAAAGCTCAAGAGGCCCCACAAGGATCCCACTGTGCAAACGAGCCCTGCAAGTAAATCAGGTGTGAAAGGTGCAGTGGTTTGTCACACCAAAACCCCTGCAGGAGCCAAACCCAGCTCCAGACCAGACCAGTGGTGGCCACCAGAGTGGCACAAAGATGCTGGGCAGCACCAGCCAGCTCCAGAACGGCCTGGCCTTGCCCTTCCCTGCACAGGGGCCTCGGGAAGCTGGGGAAAAGGACAAACTCAGCTGCTGGGATGTGCCCTGGGCAGCAAACCCGCCTGGGAGGGCTGACAGGGTTTCAGCAGCCCGGCCCCACTGTGAGAGTGCGAATCACCCCATGAGCTGTGATTTGGTTTTGAGTTTCCATCAAAGGCTCTAGTTTCACTAACACACCAATGAATTAGCTGAATGTTGGAAGTCACATACAGTTAAAAGTCAGAGCCCCATGGGAAGCCCAGGCTAAGAAACAATGTCTCCTTTGACTGCAAAACCACAAGAAAACACAGACGGCAAAATTCAAATATAAAAGGAAAGTGGAACATACGTTTGTTATTGTAAAGCAGCTCCTGTGAGCTCCACTAACAACTCTGCCATTCCAGCTTCTTTTTAATAAGAAAAATAAAAAGAGGCAGTGAAAGTCACCACAATTTTAAAAGTTAAAGCCCAGGGGAACGTTGGGCTGGCTGTGCTGAACAGGAGCCCCTCTCTGCACAGCTTTCCTGCTCTGGAGAGGAGAGGCGAGGAGGAGCCTGGCACACAGGGCTGGAGGGGCTGGGGGTCCCTGTGCCTGCCCTGCCCTCACCTGAGCACGGGCGTTTTGCAGCCCTGCTCTGCATTTGGATGTTGTAGCAAGGCAATCAGTGGGGATTTAACCTCTCATTACACTCCAGGGCTGTGTTTGCTCTGCCACCTCTGTCCCAATCACATCCACAAGCTCTTTGCACAGGAGCAGCCACTGCCTTTCCTAATGAACAGGCTCTTCCACAGCCTTCCTGGAGCAGCTGGGCACAAATAAGCAGCTTTGGGAAAAAAAGAGCTGGGAACCAAACGTGCCTGCCCCTCCTCTGTGGTCTCAGTGACCAGGGGGACCTGCAGGATGGAAGGAGCATGCAAACTTCAGCTTTGTCCTGGCTACAAAGCATCTCCTGGCTATTCTCAGCACCTTAACATCCACGGATACTCACATCCAACTCACATCCCTAAAACCTGAGCTCTCTACAGTTAACACAAGCTGCAGGCTCCTCCCAGGAGTGACTCAAACACCTGAGCTGGGAGCCTGTGCTTCTCCACGGGACTCCACACAGCCCTGAAATCAGACATGTGAACATTCCCTGGCATGCAGGGCTTCTCCCCTGCTCCTGGCACAGCTTCTGTCCCATTCCACCTGCCCAGCTTCCAGAGGCTTTGATCACCTTCTCCTGCCATGCTTGGAGTGCACAGCTGGTGCAGAGCCTTGAGCACAAACTCGAGGCGTGACACGTGAAGAAGAGGAAGCAGCATCAGAAAGATAAACCACAAGATAAGGCTCAGAGGATATGAGATCTGCTGGTCTGTAGCTTCAGAGCACCCCAAAGAAGAAATCTGCATGCAAAATGCGTTTTCCAAAACATAAATATTGCAGGGCAGCACCGTGCTGCAAAAACCAGCCAAGATCTCTTCTGCCAGCAGGTTCAGCTGGGTAATTAGTCATGTGAAGGGTTAATTGAAGGCTTTTTTTAAAATCAGATTTGTTTCAAAAGAGATTGTACTTTAGAAAAATACTCTGTTTACATCTAACAAGAACACAAAAGTTAAACTTCACAGAGGGGAAAGAAGGAGAGGGAAAAAAAAAAAAAAAGATCCCTTGAAGCCAAATAACTTCTGACATGAAAACTTTGGATTTTACTAGCCTCCCCCAGTCTGAGATGCCATAAACCATACAGGTGCAACTATCTAATTACTTGGCATCCATATGAACCTGGTTATGTTCAAGTGAACACAAATTCAACAAATACTCCCAGCTTTACAAGGAACCTTCAGAAAGAAACTGTCCATGTTTTCCCCAGATGCAGGCCCAGCTGTGCAGAGGCACATCTGCTCAGGGAAACTAAAGTGGACATTTGAATTTATAGTTTTAGATCCTGAAGTTTGATGGCAAATTATGATAAAACTAGCAATACTGGTTCCTGTCTTCAGCAGAAAATATAAATGCCTCTTTGATTGATATTGATTGCAGGAAGGAAACAAATTCTATTTCCCCATGTCACAAGAAACTCCTTCACTGCAATAAGGACCCTGTTGATAGGAATACCTTGGGAGGGTAAGTGAGACTGCAGTTGCAAGCAAACTGAGAAAGGAGAAGTGCTGATTGCTATCACTCCTGCTTCTAGGCAGCTTCAAACACACCACAGGAGGCTGTGAGCTTGTCAGACCCAAACCAAAAAGCCTGCATTACTGGAGTATGGCAAATGGGACTGCTGTTTATTATTACCCTGCACCCTCCACTCAAATGCCCAGGCCATACATGTAAGTCCAGCTCCATCAAAGCAAACAAATTCATTGATTTAACAATTTATGGCTTGATTTTAAAAGGGGGTGAGCCTGCAGGGGAATACTGAACATATGCTTGAAGTTAAGCACAAATCAACCCAGTGAAATTAGTGGTATTGATCACGTGCTTGAAATTACACATAAATGTTAATGTTTTCCTGGTTCCTGCAAGCCCTGAGCGTGTCAGGAACATCTGTGGGATGCAGCCAACTTTGTTTAGTGAAGGCTGACCTGTTCAGCTTCCACACATCATTCCAGCACTCTCCACTGACACAGCACAGCCCCGACCCCAGCCTGGCTTTGGCTTTCCTTCAGGAAACATGGGCTGAAAACAGGGGAAATGAGGGAAATGACTGATGTGCCCCCACTTGGCTACACTGCAGCTACTCAGCCAGTATTTTATACCACCCTTTGAAAGGTGAAGGAAAAGCTGTTCACACTCCAAACAGAAGAAGGGTTCAGCTCATTCAGCTCTCAGGTCAGCAAAGGGACGAATTTGTTCTCTCCACCACTGACAGTCTGAAATTTGCTCACTTGTTTCAGCAGTGACTTCCCAGGCACCTTATGACAGTTGTAACGGGATCACACGAGGTTCATACAGCCCAGAAAAGGCAGCAAATACATTTCCCACATTTCTGAGCTTTCAGAAGCCAATCCAAACCAACCCTCTCCAAGTCCCGGACTTCGCCACGGCTCAGCACATCCAAAAGCTCACAGGGCGCTCCTCTCTCAAGGACAGCCTCCAGTAAGGATTTCAGAGATGAACTTGCCCCCCCTTTTCCTCCAGGAGATCCCCAGGAGCTTACCTGGACCACGGGGTGGCCGCCGGTGGGAGCCTTGACGGCGCCGCGGCTGCCCTCGGTCTCGTAGTGCGCGCGGTGGTGGGGCTTGGGCTGCACCTCGATGCGCAGCTCGTAGGAGCCAGACTGGCTGGACAGGGGCCACTCCAGGGGAGGGAGGGACTGCACGGGCAAGCTGGGACACAAAGAGAGAGACACACCACCAGGGAAACTCCTGAGAACCTGATTTCTCAAAGCCTGGTCCCTCCTTCCTCCCAGCGCCCCACCTGAAACATTCAGGTGTGTGCTTGAATTCCCACGAGATGATGCTGAGCTGCTCACATCTGACTGCAAGCTCTGCTGAGAAGACAGTTCCTTGCAGAAGAGAGGAAGATATTTCTGTTCCTTAAACAGAAATACCTGCAGCAGTTACATTTTTTTCAAAGATTCCCCTCTTTTACCTAGCTTTCAAAGATCCCCCTCCTTTATCTAGCTTTTGTTTTTTCAAAGATCCCCCTCTGTTATCTAGCTTTTGCTGTGTGACTCCAACTTGGATCACAGAATATGTATTGTGAAATATTAACTCCATTTGCCACTACCTACCAGTTGTGTAAATGAACAATTGTTATGATTTCTATAAATAGTAAAAGGCACATCAACAAAATGCTAAATATTCTTACCTGTTACTAGTTTTCCTGCTATTAAAATACACAAGGGTTTATGACATGGAATGAATACAGTGCAAGGTGCAACTAAAGCCTGCACTGGATTTTAAACCACGCTCACTCTGTGAGTACAGGCTGCTGCCAGGACCGGTCTGACAAGCCAAGGAAGTCACAGCCTGTGCTCCTTCACTCACAGTTTGTGTTCAGCAGGTCAGGAACACCCTGGGACAGCCTCAGTGCCCAGTGGGATGGCACTGACAGGGTGCCAGCAGGGACTGTGAGCAGAGTCACACACTTGGCACCTTTGGTCCTGGCAGATGCCACAGAGCCAGACAATGGAGGGCTGAGATTTGGGCTAAGGGACAACTGATAAATTAACAACCAACACTAAATCACCAGAGCTGACCAAATGCTCAGTCTGACCTGGAGCAGCAAGCTCTGTTTGGAATCAGGCATTATTTAAAGCATTTTCATCCTTGATGGAAATTTGAAAGTGACTTTACAAAAGCAATGCAACCATTTCAGGAGCAGCAGGATGGCACCAGAGTGTTCAGCCCTTGTCAAAGGCTGTCTGCAATCTGCTATTTAGACAATTCATTTGGAAATTTGAATTTGTAGTGTACTGGCTATCAATGAACCTCTTTGGTGATGTTTCTTCAAAGCCCTGACTTTTTCATCTCAGAATCCTAATGGACCAGGCTCCCATGAACCAATGCTGTCCCTGAACACTCAGCTCTGGCCTGCTCAAAAAAACATTCCCTAGGGATCATCAGCCACGACAGAGGACACCAAACCATGAAAAAACATGAAAAACACACCCACAGGAAGCATTACATACCTGCAGATTGGTATTGCAGGCACCGGCTGCTTTGTCCAGGATGGAGGAACCAACAGAATGGATTCTGGGGCCGAGTTTCTCCTGTCCTCCTGCTCACAGGGCCCGTGGAAGTCAACGGCCTGAAAGACGTGACACGGAATGCTGTTTTTGTGGGAAGACATGGACGAAGGATCGGGGCTGGTTTTCCAGATCTTCGTGGGGACGCCGCAGGAAGGATCCGTGGGAAGGCTGCTCATAGCATCCATGGAAAGGGGAGCGCTGGCCAGCTGTGTGTAAGTGACTGCAGAGGTGTCCTCTCTCGGGGGGATGCGAGGAGAGGGCTGTGGAGAGGGGGTCCGTGACTGCCGAGGCGAGGCGGAGGGCAGCGGGGTGCCGTAGAGCCCGGTGCAAGAGAACCTCCGCTTTGCACCTGGCGACGAGGACCTTGAGTTGGGACAGGGTGATGGTGAGTGGCGTCCCAAGCAGGCTTCCTCCGTGATGCTTGTTCGTGGTGACATTATTGGAGAGGTTCTAGGAGAATAATGAGTATGGATGTTTTGAAACTGCGGACAAAGGTCATCACTAGGACCATTATTTGGTGAAACACATGGTGATGTGCAAGGAGATACATTTGTCTCTGAAATGAAACTTGCAGAGGAGCCGCTACTAGCTGGGCTCAGACACAGTGGTTCTCTGTAGCCCTCAAAGCCAGGGACAGGCAGGGTAACCCTCGGGCTAGTGGTGGCTGAGTTTGGCTGATGTTCTACCAACAGAACATCTGTGTCTCTGCTGCGGAAGGGACCCCCCGAATGAATCAGTTCATGATATGGAGTTATTTCAATCCTAGGGCTCGGAGCAGAGGCCCCTGCAGCGTTGGCAGGGTGTGTAGGTGTTGGCCCTATGCTATCTGGCTGTCCATATCTGCCCATGGGATCTGCAGAAAGGCTAGGAAAAGGCAGGGGGCATGGCTTGAGGCCACAGTCCAGGACATCATGAGCGTATGTAACTCCAGAGGGTGGGCTGTTGGTTTTATGTGGAGTCGGTTCTTCTGGAAAAAGAAGGGTCTCTTTAAGACTGTAAATATTGTTACAGAAGCTGAGCAATCATGGATTAAAAAAAATGCATATTTATAAACTGGTTGTGATCTGATATTAGCTTATTATTTAATTCTTTTTCACTGCAGTTAATGCCTGTGAGAAGTACTGGATTAAGAGCCAGGGAAGCCCAAGAGCTCAGGGCAGGTGCAGCATGGACAGAAGCACTGCAAACACCACCAGCCAGGCTCCTGCTGCCTGAGCCTCACCCGAGGGATCCCCTGGACAGGGCAGCAGAGTGTCAGCCCCCCTGTCCAGGGCAGGACTGCCCTCCTGCCAAGGACACCCCAGGTGCTGTGACTTTGGTCAAATTTTGCCTACTAGGAGCTGGACTGAGACCAGCACATCACAAAATCACTTCCAAACAGGTTGAGGAACAGCTTTTGGAGAAGGGAGAAACACCTTCCTTACACAGCCAAACCCAGCCAGGAAAGGCTTCGTGAACCAAAGCTGAGCTCAAACTCTTAAACTGAAAAGTCACTTCTGTGTGATGATTTGTTTGGCTCTGTATCATGACAGCAAGTTTGGTGACAGGTTTCATGTGAGTCAGAAAACACATTCACAAATATTTGTTAGAGAAGAGAGAGAGGGAGAAAGAATCCAGCCCTGTGGTTAAGGGCAATCACATTCCAATTTCAGCCCAGGGAACATTTTCAGACAGGGATTATAAAAACAAGTAGAGTGCTCAGTAAAACTCTCTCTCTGCTGGTACCAAAACCCCTCAATTTTCAGAGATTCCCATTTTGCAAACTCTGCCCAGGTTGCAGAGCACAGGGATGCTTCCAGGGAAGCCAGAGCTCCCAGCAGCACGGCAGAGCCCAGCTCCAGTCTGGTCCCTGCACACGAGGGTGTGCAATGGCAGTGGCATCCCAGAGAGCAGAGTCATGGCAGCTCCTGGAGCTGCCCCAGCCTGGGAGCTCAAGAGTATTTGTCATCACACAAAAACATGCAAAACCTTACCAGGATATGTTTTTAAAGATTTCAGTATACCCAGCAGGAAATACCTGAAACAGCTCCACAATTTGGGATTAATTCACCCTATCTGCTCGCTCTGGGCACAGATCAGTGCATGCCACAGGCAGAGGGTTTCATTTAAGTATTCAAATTACTGTTCCAGCATTTTCTATAACTCCTACATGACATTAGACAGCAATTCCCATGAGAAAATACCACACAGAAAGCCAGGCAGGAGCTGACTGTGCTTTCTGCAAAAGTAGCAGAAGTTCCTAGTGAAACTTTTACATGCAGAGAGATTTTGACTGCTTTTCAGCAGGCTTCTGTTCATTTTTAGGAACTGCTGAGCCTTTGTGTTCAGTGGGGAACCCCAAGAGCCAAGCAAACAAACCAACACACAGAAGGGCTGGACAGGAGGGGAGCTGCACAGGACAGTCCAGCTTGCACATTTCTTAAGGTTCCCTCTGGCTTTTAATCCCAGCACACAGCTGTTTTGGGGACAGGAAAACAGCAACGAGTCACTGAATTCTGAGCCAAACATATTTTTAGCACTGTGATTTCAGAGCTCTGGCACTCAGGAGCGGTGTGTCATCCCCATCACTCAGGTCTGACACATCAAGCCTCGAGATTGCTGCTGAGATTCCCTTTGAACAGAACTCGTCACATCTCTGCAATGAGCAGAGAAACACACCCCCCACAGCCCCAAACCATCGCTGCCGCCGCTCTGGGGACAGCCACCCCCATTCCAGCTGATGCCAGGGGCAAAACCAGCCCCAAGCAGAGCCAGGCTGGATGCCAGGCTCGAGGTGGGATTTGTGCAGCGACCAGCAGGAGCAGAAACCTCTCCAGGCTGAACAGCTTCACCTCAAGGAACGGGTGAGCCTTTCAGCTCCCCGTGCAGCACACCCAGCTAGAGCTGCCCTCCCCACACCTTAAACTGAATTAGCTGTGCCAGGTACAGACAACAACAGGTACAGAACCAAAACTCAGCACAGCCAGCAGCAAAGCCAGCGGGGGGAGGCTCATGCTGAGGGGTATGGGACAAGCAAATGTATTTGTACGTGCACGTGTAATTGTAAAAGTCTGCTGAATAACAAACACACCCCTCACCCACAGTGACAGCCCATCAAAACCCGGGCTTCAGACAAGGCACATTTTCTCAGCTTACCCCTGAAACACTGCGTTTCACAGAGCACTTTCACCCTGGCACTGCCCCACGTGCCAGGTGTGAATAACAACGTTCACACACACACACAGCAAGCCCCAGCCTGCCCCTGCCACCGGGACACAGCCCCGCCGAGCAAACACCCCCAGCTCCTGTGCAGCAGCAATATTTACTCTCCCCCGCATGGCAAGCTGTCAGCGCAGGGCCCGTGGGCACGGCCGCACACAAACCCTGCCCTGCCCCAGCAGCGGCGGTGCCAGGGCTGAGCCTGAGCCCTGACTCATCGGCACGGCTTCGTCAGGAGCCGGCTCGGGGCTTTGGGGAGCTCTCCCGGCCCCGAGAGCTGCAGAGGCACAATGCTCTCACTGTCCCGGCCGCTGACGCCGCGGTCTGTCCCCATGGCAACGCCGGTGATGCTGCACGGTGATGCTGCACGGTGATGCGGGCTCTGACCTCACCGGGGAGGGATGCGGGGTGCGGGGCTGAAGCAGCCACTGCTGCTCCCACAAATAAACGGCTCTTCCGTGGAAATCGGCAGGAATTCTGCTTGCTGCTTCAGCAGGAGGGAATTGGCTGCTCTGCTCTGGCCAGCTCGGCTGAGGTCAGGAATCTCCTCGAGGAAGAGGAGAGCCAAGAGCCCCAGGAGAGGAGCATCGCCAGCAGCAGCAGTTTGCTCCTGTGAGCAGCATCAAGCCCCTGCCTTTGTGAGGGGCAGAGGAGGCTGGCCAGCAGCTCAGCTGCTTTCTCTCTGCCCTTGCAGGTGCCTGTGGGACACAGAGCCCAGGACACAGCAATGGCTCCAGGCAGATGGCCCCAGCACCACCCAAGCTTCTCCCTGAGCTGCCAAGGAGAGCTTGGGTAGGGCAGCAAAGCTCACACTGCTGGCCCTCTGCCACACTGGGATGGCAGGGAACAGCCCTGCCACCCTCCAGTGGGCTCCCCAGGGAGGGAGAGCCCTTACAGAGAACAGGTACAGGATGGATCAGCCCAGCAAAGGTGTTTTCCAAGGACTGAAGCGACTCGGAGATACAGCTTTGCTCCCAAGGCCGTGCCACCTTCCAGAGTTCATCCATTTCTCATATTGCATCCCAGGACACACTGCAATACTCCAGCAAAGGACTGTCCTCTCCACTGCTGTTGTGATGGATAGCTCACAGACAGCTCCTCAGCACGGGCAGCTCCAGCACTTCCCCTCTCCCTGCACTCAAGCATTTCCCAGCCTGAGGTTTCGCTGCTGATTCACCCTCTGATTCAGTACCAAAAGATCCTTCTGCTTTCACAGGGGAGTTAAAAGAAAGTGAGTCTCACACCCAGGCAGCACTGGCACCTCCTCATGCCCTCAGTCAGCTCTGCTGCCAGCAAACATCCTTCCCTGTGTCACTCAGCTCCTCTCCCTAGAGCAGCCCAAGCCCTGTGGGATCCCACCCAAACTGCCTACAAGCTGCCAGCTCTCACTGCCCCTTTTCCCCACAGGTTTCACCCCCATGACTGCCTCTCCCACCACAGCAGGGAATGAAGCAGGGGTCTGGATGCTCCTGTACTGCAAATAACCAGCAAAGCAGCTCCTCTGGCCAGGCAGCCTCCCCAGGGGGAGACCCTCAAGAGTGCCCTTAGGAACCCAGGGAGAGTTGAGTCACAGGAGAAAGAGACCAAGGGATTTCAGTTTCAAAGGACTCGACCCTTCATTTACCAAACTCCTTTTCACACATCTCTGAAGGGCAGAAAGGAAAAGGAAAAGGCTCCCGAGGCTCCCCAAGCCCAGGGCCACAGCAGTGTGAGCACACGTGGCTTGGGGAGGTCTGAAACAAGGCAGCGCCTTCAAAGCCAGCCACTCAGCCAAATGTGACAATTAGCATGAAATTAGGGAATAAAGGCCCACCCAGCAGCTGCATTCCATGCTGGGTTTATCCAAACCATCCTCTAGGAAAAGCTAAAGATAGCCCTGTGCAGGCCAGGGAGCACAAGTTGGGTTTTGACCTCACATCCGCTGGCTGCAGCTCCCGGGATTTAACTGCAGTCCCTTATTTGCATAAGTAAAAGAGTCTATTTTCTTTTTTTAATTAACTTGCTTATTGTCATTTGAAGGGCCCAGTCCAGAGCTTCTTTGCATTTTTCAAAAGCTGAGTTGTCTGTTATTTACACTAACTGCTTGGAAGCTCCAAGTGAGAGCTGGTTTCCTGAGTGAAATCTGGAATTCTCTGGTAGATGTGCATATTTGCTTCTTTATGGCAGGGCTGAACACTGCCTCCTGTGTTCCTGAGCCAGCCCCAGGACCCGGCTGCATGCACTTTCAGTTTTTTTTTCCTTTTAATAGCTTTGCATCTGGGAGAAGAAAAAAAAAAAGGAACGAGGCAAATTATTCAGGGCTTGACACCTACAAGACGTGGCAATGTCCCCGGGAGCCTGTCTACATACAAACAAGCATTTGGAGGAATATTAATATTTATGGATGCTCCCTGCACTACACACACACAGACCTTGCAGATTCACATCAGCAGTCTCAGAGCCTAATGAGCTACAGCAAGGGCCTGAGAAAATACTCCTTCCCATCTGCATTCCTACCTGCTGTCTCAGGGCAGGGCTTCATCTGGAATCTTATTTAAACACAGGTTTTGTCTGGATTTGCAGAACACCCCTCAGAGCATCAGCTCCCAGAAGGGCTGACCTCAAACATTAAAAATGATGTGGCAGCTTTACCTCTCAGCAGATCATCACACAGTGAGCCCAACAACCCTGAAGGGAGCTGCGGGGGCAGAGCACTGTCTGCAGTTCAGCATTTTGTCTCTCAGCAGCCAGCAACAGGTGCTAGGGAAGAGCACACCCAGCAGTTATCAGAACTCACTCCTCTGGGAGCCCTCATTTGTAGGAGCTCATTTGGAAATGCTCATTAACTCACTTGGCATGTTTGAAACAGCTAAAATTTGGGCTATCAGTGATACCACTACCAACACCTGCACAGGGACTCTGCAGGGAATGCATCTCACACTTTTTTGCTCAAAGGACACAGAAAACATCCTCAGTGGTCAAAAGAAATCCCAGCTTCCAGCTGAAAGCAGTGCATGCCTTGCCCACACTCCCCAAATCCTGCTCACCTAGCCAGGCCCCTGAGTTCAGCAGATATTTCTTGTTTGCAAATCCTGAGAAGATTGCTAATTAAAGTCTGGCAAGTAAAGGTAAAAAGCACTCTCTGCAGCACTGCTGCTTTTGGAAATGGCTGGCTTCAAGAGGAACATCTAATATTAACAATATTGACTGCAGGGTTTCTGTTGACCCTTCTTCCCCTGTTGCTTTTACAGCAGTCCATGTTCCTGTTGGCCCAGGCACACACAAGCTCTACTGAATGCCAGACACTTGCAGGAAGGATATTTCTGGCATCCCCATGGCAACAAGTTGTGATATAGGTCCTGCTTTTAAAACACAGCTTTGGATGGATACTGCCAAATTCCAGCCTTTCAAAAAATTGTTTATCAGGAATAAACATTCACCCCAATCCATGCCTAGAGCCCAAAATTTATGTTTCCCCGTATTTTTTTTAGTTTTAAAAAATCCCTTTTAGCACGCTTATGGCTTTGTTATTTTAGGACTTGTCATGAGCAGTGGGTGGAGCAGCCCAGGCTGGGAGGCCTCCAAATGCAGGAACCAGACTGAAGTGCTGGGACCCATTCCTTTGGTTTTGGTTCCACTTTGAATCCTCCTCTGCACAGGACCTGTTTGCCCAAGTGCAGTTCAGACGAGGCCAGGACTGCACATGAACAATGAGCATCAGTTAGCAGCAGCATGTGGACAAAGCCCTTGCTCAGAAATTGACCATTTTCAGCTCTCATGTAAACATGCTTTAATCTTTTGTACATTAAAGGTTGCGGATGTATCCTGGATTGCTTACAGACTGGAGCTGCTGCCTTTTCAAAGCCAGGGAGAATGTTCTCCAGATTACAATGCTCATATATATGGTTGGGATCTTTTTGTTTTAATGCTAATGATTTCCATCTTTGGAACAGAATTACTACTAATTATGGTTTCCAGTCATTCAAAAGTGAAGAAAGCAGGCTCAAGAAGGAAGTTACTTCTACAACAAGCACACCCTGCTCTGCATTTATGTGGTTTGAAGATTAAACTTTCTACCCCCACCTACGTGTGATTATATTCTGTAGAACTTCCCACTTAAGGCTTCACAGCAGCACTGTCTACTGTAAAGCTGTGAACACACCAGCATCTGAAGCTTTCACTGACGTTCAGTGTATTTTCATTAAAATCATTAACCCCTCCCCATTGTGGATTTATTGTAGCTTATTTTGATCTGCATGAAACCTTGGAAGAAAATTCAGCTTTGTCCACCTGATGGCATGAACCATCCCCAGTCAGCTTCAATGCTGGTGCACATCTGTACACTTAAACAAGGACAGAGAGAATAAAACTCAGCAACAACTCTCTACCTCACTGATGACACAATTCATCAGGCCTCAAAGGTCTCCTTCTTTGGAGGAACACAACATCTCTGAGATGCCCCAGGGAAACACCAGCTCTCCACTGAGCAGAATCCAAACCAATGTATCTTAGAGACAGTATCTCAACAAATCATTCCTCTGGGTCCTCTCTTTCGGCTTTGTCTGGTTTACACAAAACTGTATTTTATGGGAAGTATCCCTGTTTAGTACCATCAACAAACAAAATTACCATGTAGAAAGTCAGGGAACACTTGTCCCTGCGCTTTAAAGTATCACAGCATAAGCCCAGAAAAGCAGAACAGTCCGCAAACCTTTCTTTCCCCCTCAATTTTAACTTCAGCTGCTGCCGTTTGTCCCCAGGCTGGAGCCAGCGGCTGCGAGGGCTGCACGCCCCAGCGCTCCGGCTGCCGGAGCTCCCGGAGCTCCCTGGGCACCACGCGGGGCACGAGAGCCGGGCCGGGCGGTGCCCAGCGCCTCCGCTCCCGCTGCTGCTGCAGCGCCCGGTGCCGGCTGCACGGCCCGGGGACAGCGGCATGTCCCCGGCCGGACCCTGCATCCCGGCACCGGGCTCCAGTGGGCCTGGGGACAGCGGCATGCCCCCGGCCGGACCCTGCATCCCGGCACGGCACGCGGCTCCCGCGGCCCGGCCCGGGCACCTGCCGGCCAAGCGGCCCTCACGGCAGCGGCCCAGCCCCGCCTGCCGGGCCGGCCCCGGGGGCTCCGCCGTGCCCGGGCGGACCCTCACCAACCTTCGATCGGCTTCAGGTAGTCGTAGTCGAAGAGGATGGAGAAGTCGAACTCCTCCTGCGGGCTGTCCGGCCGGGCCGTGCCGGGGCCGTGCCCCGGTTCCCCCTCCTGCGGGCCGGGGTCGGGGCCGGGCCCGGGCCCGGGGCCCGCGGCGCTCATGGCCCGGGAGCGGGGCTGCCCCGAGAGCCGCGACCCGGCGGAGCCTCCGGCAGCGAGAGCCGGGCGGTCAGAGCGGGGAAACGGAGGGAACAACGCGAGGAAACACCAAGAAATGCCCTGGCCGGGGAGGCTGCGGCGGGCGGCAGCGGTGCCCCGACGGCAGGTGCGGGCGGCGAGCCCCGGGCGGCACGGCACGGCTCGGCTCAGGCTCGGCTCGGCTCAGGCTCGGCTCGGCTTGGCACGGCTCGGCACGGCGCGGCCGGGCGGCAGCGGGGCAGCTTCCTGCTCCTCGCAGCCACCTGCGCCGGGGCCGCCCCCGGGGAGGAGCCGGCACCGGCCCGGCAGCACCGCACGGGCCCCGCGCCGGCGGCAGCGGGGATATCGGGCCTGCCCCGGCTCGGGGGGCTCCAGGAACGCTGCCCCTCGGCCGAGCATCTCCGCCTCGATGCCCCACGCTCGGTGTGACCGGCTGCCTTGCCCGCAGCCCCTCTCTGCGGAGTGCTGCAGGGTCCCGCCGCTCCGGCAGCGCGGCCGTGCCGCTGCCTGCTCCGGGCTTCGCGCATCCCGAGCCATGCGCTCCCATTCCCAGCAGCCGGTGTGTGTAAGCGCATCCCGAGCCATGCGCTCCCATTCCCAGCCGGTGTGTGTAAGCGCATCCCGTGCCATGCGCTCCCATTCCCAGCAGCCGGTGTGTGTAAGCGCATCCCGAGCCATGTGCTCCCATTCCCAGCAGCCGGTGTCTGCCAGCACAGGACAGCCTCTCCTCGCTGCAGCACCTTTAGAGGCAGCGGGCCCATCGTGCACAAGGGCTCTGTTCTCCTCCTGCCTCGCTCACAAACAGCGTTTCAGAGGACGGGCGCTCGCCGCGTTCCCTGCTGACCACAGCCGGGTGCTGCCAGCTTCCCCAGGTCCCCCTGCCACCTCCACCACACTGCCTGCATTCATCCCATCTGCCCTGGCCCTGCACAGGGTGCTGGCCACTGCCCCCCGACAGCCTCCTGCCCCGGGGATGGCTGCTGCCAGCAGCAGTGACTTCACTCGTGGGTGACTGGGGACCCTGGGTTTGTGTGTTCAGAGCATCTGTGGTCAGGGGGCTGTTCCCTCGCTTACCTCTTTGTGTGGTGCCCTTTATGAGTGTGCAGATGGCTGTCATCAGGTCTGTGAGTTTGAAAAATGCTCCTAGTCTGTAGACAGGGCAGGGATGCAAAGGCAGAGGGACCAAGATCATTAAAAACCTATTTTGGTGTTTACTTCAGCTTGTTTTTATTTGCTAAGCCTGTCAGCACGGTGGCATTAACTGCAAGACAAATCTTTAAGTTACGTTACTTGTCTAAGGTCACAGAAAGTCTGTTTTAAAGCACACATGGACCAGAATCTCTGCAGCTGGGCTTATAACCCACTGCCTTTCTCATGAATGTGTCCAGCCAAGGAATGACAAACTGCCTTCTCATCACACCCTTTTGCTCCATCCTGTGCTCATCCAGAGGACAAGAACTCAGACTTTCCCTGCAGTTTGCAGTCAGGTTCTTTACAGAGTTTCTGAAGAAGCCCAGGACTGGCTGGTCCCCCTGCAGCTCCTGGCTGGCAGCAGGAACACCACACAGGGCTGGGGCTGGAAGGGCACTCAGGGAGCAGCCAAACCTGCTGGGGGTCTGCATCAGGCCAGGTGGGCAGCAGTCCCACCAGAATCAGACCTTGTGGCATTCATTTGTTACTGGAAGGTGCTGGGGATAGGGAAAAGTGCCTGTCAGAATGGGCAGGTGAGCCTGCAGAGAGAATACTGAGGTATTCACAGATGCTGCCACCCCTTGGGGAACCTGTGCTGCTCTCTCTGAAAGCCTGATTTGTTCTGAATTGTTTAAACATCTATTAAATTGGATTGTTTGTATCTGTTGTCCAGTGATCCTTACTGTTTGCTGAGCACTGGCCTTTTATCATTGCCTCTTCTATTTAAAATTCATTAGAAAAACAAAATATACTTGCTGATCTTGGCTTAGCACTAAAGAGAGCTGTCATCCTCACAGCTGACACCACACGGAGCACAACTGGAGAGCATCAATTGGATTAGCCTCAGAAGGAAATGACAAACAAAAACTTTGGGCTTGTTAAGTGAGATACAGGTGATTGGCAAGAGGGCGTGGGGAAACGACCCTGACTTCTGCTAAAGCTCTATCCCATCCTTTACTTCCCATTAGGCATGTGAAGCTTCAGACTTATCCTCAGCTACTCCTAGGATTAGTAATGCTCCACAAATGGAAAATGTACCTTTTGCTTTCCAAGAGGACCGTGTCATGCCAGAGTCTCCCTGCTGACACACGTAATCATCAGTTCTGCCTCTGCCCAGGAATGCGGGTGACAAGACAGCAGTGAGAAAAGTGCTAGAGAAACGTAGCAATTAGCTCAGCTTATAGGATTCAAGGATTTCTGCCCAGCAGACAACTTGACAGCTGTCAGGGAGCAAGAGCCACCAGGCTTTAGTGCAGTGTGTCCCTGCTGCTCCCCCCTGCTGCTCGCAGGGCACACGAGGACACCGGTCCTGCATGAGCACTACTCAGAACCCACAGGAACAGTTTCCACATGCTCTGAGAGCACAGAGATGCGAGTTGGAACGCTCTGTGGGCTAGCTTTGAACCTACCTGTGTGTCACTTCGAGCAGAAGTGCACAAAATAGAGATCTGGCCTAAATATTAGAGGGGTATCAAGCTGTTGGTAGGTGCAGGCAGCTGCAGAATCCAGCTCAAGTGACAGCTGTAGTGTTTGGAGCCTTCCAAAGGCTGAGTGGAGTTTAGTTTAGACCCAAAACAGGCTCTTGAGCCCACAGTGAAAATAAAACATTATAAATTAAGTTTTAGCTGTTAATAACTACATAACTGACAAATACTGCCCACAGTCTGTCATTAATAATTAGTGGTGAAGGGAAGGCAGGGAAGCTCCTAGACTTAAATAGACTGTGGGCTCTTCAGCCCAGTATATACACTCAGAAACATCAAAGGAAAACCCAAACAACGTGACAAATGCTTCCCAAAGCTTGATTTCCATTAGGGCTGGAGTGGAAGGCTGGAGTAAAGTACAAATACTGCTTGGTTTTCCTAAATCTCAATATTTTTCTCATCAGAGCCTTCCTTTCTCCAAGGATCCTCCATGCATTTCTCCTGTGTCCAGGGTCATGGAGAGTGGTCCCAGCTCTGCTTGGGCTCTCAGCACTCACCCTGAGATCCAGGAGTCAGCATTAGCTCCGGGGTTTTTCCTATAAAGCTGTTTTCATGAGCCAAAAAGGTGTTTGAAGGACTGAAGCAAAGCCTGTCCTTGGCAGCATTAACAAAAATTGCAGCCACGTATGCTTGCAGCAGGCTGCACACAGAGCAGAGCTGGAAATACACTGTGCTGCCATTTCAGGGAACTGCAGGGTGGAAGCAGTCCCTTTTCCACATACTTGGATCCGTGCTGCCCTTTGGCAGGGCTGTACCTTAATAAAACTTCAGAAGAATGTGAATACTGGACTACCTAGGCACTGGGGGACGGGGAATCCAAAAACAAATCTAAAAAGAGCACTCCTAGTGTAATACAGACTGGGAGTTAGAGAGTACTTCACATATTTCTGTGTTTAAATGCACTGCCAATGTAACTTCTCATTTACTATTTTCAGTTTCTACTTGTACTGCCCCACTGTATTCCCTGCATCAATTGCTTCACTAATGCAAGGGAGCAGAGGGTGCTCTGAGAGGAAGAAATTTTATTTGATCTCAGAAATGTCTATGATAATTATTATTTGTCCCACATGATACATAATTTACTCTGAACCTCTAATACTGCAATACCTTCACATGAAACTTTTTAAAAGAAAAAGAGGTAGAAAAAAAGCAGATTAAGAAAGCTGCATGTCTATTTAGCTGCTAAAACCCAAAGAAAATATGAGTCAATGCTGTCTTAAAAATCTAAGTGTTCTAATGGTGTATGTGGCAGGCATTAGAAATTTAACAGGCAACTAAAACTTGCACATGGACTTAATCCAAGCTCTTTAAAATGAGCTCAGCCTGTGAGTGACTGGTTGCTTGGTCTGGAGAGTGGGGAGTGTTATTAGAGAAAAAAAAAGGAGGGAGAAAGAAGGGAGAAATATCTGGTAGTTCCTTTGAGAGGCACAGGCACACACACTACTTTTCAATTTTGGGGTCAGGTTGAGTCAGAGATATTACCCCCAAATTTCAAGCTTAAAGTGGTTTGGCAAGAAAGGACAATGGAAAAATTGCTCATATCTCCACGTTCCCATTAAGTTCTGAAGTCTGCTGGGCAAACCAAAGGAATGCACATATCATAGTTTTTTTAAAAAAATAGATTAGCCCAGTAGTGGAAAAGAAGTTCTAGGATATTATTATCCTTGGCTATTTTTTAAAAAAAATGAGTGATGAAATTTCACTTAGAATATCTACTGGAATATTATAAAAGAGTGCTCCAGTTCTGACAGGGTCCCATCTGTGAATGTGATTCCTGCCCTGCACGAAGGCCTCTGGAATCATTTGCTGGCTGTAGCTGGTGTCCCACAGGGCAGGCTGGTGGAGAGAAAGGTCAAGGGACAGAGAATTCACAGCCGTGGCACCCCAGGGTGACACAGGGACCCCTGGGGAAGGTCTCTGCCGTGGCTGAGACTTGCTGAAGCCCAGCTCGGGGAGCAAAGCCACCGAAGCAGCTTTTTGCTGGCAGGGTGTTTGTGCAGAGCCTTCATTCCTCATCCCGAGCCTGCTCCAATCATAAAAGGGGATAAGGGCTTAAAATTATTAACACATCATCATTTACACACCCTGCATTAGTAAGACTCTAACACTTTGTTGTGGGTGCAGGAATCCTCCCAGAGGCAGAGACTGATCCCAAAAATGCCATGTGTGATTAACCCCTTGCAGTTTCATGCTGCTTTTTCCTTGTGGAAATGCTGGGAGCAGCCTTGTGACACAGAGGCAAATCGGGGGCAGGGACTGCTCCAATCACGGCTGCACCACTGACAGGAG